GTGCACACCACTGCATTGGTCTTAAAAGGGCGGCCTCAAACTTGTCTTCTGATATGTTTACCTTTGAAAACATTGTAACACCTCCTACTGACACATATTAGAATTATTCTACAAATGAATCGATCACATGTCATGAGCGCTCTCATTCTTACCTTGAAGCAACATCTCCAGCAGAGTCGCGTTGAAGAATTTATTCAGTGGTTGGGACACAGTAGCCCACGAGTATCAAGATGTGCCGTTGTTGCGGCTCGAAAGTGCGCGACAAAGTGAACATTTGACGACTGATCTTACGAGGGAAGGTCACCCAGGCCGGTACGGCCATTCGCAAAGAGGTGTGCATCACTGCATTTGTCTTGGGACGCTAATAAGCCGCTTTCCGTATCTGCTAAACGATTCTCCGAACGAAGTTGCGAAAGTTTTCTCCTAAACACTCTGTTTGAATGCTATGTTCGACTGCTATCGCAGCCTTCTTATGGAGCCTTCTTATGAACCTGGCGAGGACATGACTCGCACAAGCGCAATGGTACGGGTGGCAAAACATCTGCCTCGTAGGCGAGAGGTCATGGGTTCGGTTCTTGGTGGTGTGCATACTTCTACTTTCTTGACAACATGAGTAAAAAGGCTTCCAGCGGCGTTATTTCGTCACTGCCTGCCTCTCTGCCTGTGTAAAGGGTTTGCGTGCACCTGACTTGCAGGTGAGCCACGATTTGCCCATGACTGACCATGACGCTCATGGCTCCCTAGTCAGGCGTTTTTACGCAAAACGAGTATGATATTCGTGTTCAAGGGGGCCAAACTTCCCCTGGGAACAAAGTTCCCGCCAAATCTGAGATTGTGACCCATCTTCGAGATAGGGCAGTCAGGCCGAGGTAATAGTTTGCGAATACGAGCGATTCGCTAGCGAATCGCGATTCGCTAGCGAATCGAGCGATTCGCTAGCGAATCGCTGGATCCGAGCGTTGCGCCAGCGAATCGAACGTTGCACCAGCGAATCGAACTTTGCGCCAGCGAGTCGAACGATGTACCAGCGAGTCGAACTAGGTACCAGCGACTCAATAGTGGCGGGACCCAACGTTTAAAGGAAGCCCGCCACTTTCAAACAGCGTCACTGTCACGTGACACTGTTTGAAAGTGGCGGGCTTCCTTTAAACGTTGGGTCCCGCCACTATTGAGTCGCTGGTACCTAGTTCGACTCGCTGGTACATCGTTCGACTCGCTGGCGCAACGTTCGATTCGCTGGCGCAACGCTCGGATCCAGCGATTCGCTAGCGAATCGCTCGATTCGCAAACTATGACATCGGCCTCACGATGTCAGCTGAAGGCCATGTGAAACCATTCCCATTATTCGAAACGTGAGTCAGCTGAACGTTTTTTTCTTCGGAATCTGAGTTGAAGGGGTGGTTTCCATCCCAAGGGTTCAACAATTAATTGATGATATTGTTGGCTCACCTCACCTAATTTCAATAGTTGGGTTAAAATCTCAGATTTGGTAGAAAACTTGTCCTCTAGCAGTACTCTGATCCGCTGAACGCGAACATCAATGTACGTTTGCCGAGAAAAAGCCTGACACATGCACTACGGGCACCACTGGCTTAAACGGACAAATGCCGGGCACTGCCCAAACCTGCAAGGAACTTCTCGAAAACTCTTCATAGAGGTAACTAATGGCAAGCGTTGATAAATTGGCATAGTTAGAAGCTTCCCGGCCACATTATCAAGAAACACGAAAAAACAGACTCTCCGAGGAACCGTCCCACGACCTCTTATTTGTGAAGCCAGGGCACTATCGCTGCACTTCCTTGTCTCATAACTCCGTTCAGCAGATAGGAATCGTTTAACAGACAGGAAGGGTGGTTTTGAGCTCAACATCTCGAGGCGAGTGCAACGGTACACAACTCATTGCAAATGCAATGGCAAAATCTCCTCCATGCCGATCAATGAATTTGAACGCGACACGTAATTTAAGAGTCTGGAGACTAGCGGCATACGATAAGTGACAGTTTACTCATACCCACGCAACCAATCCCAAAAAAATGTTGGCGTTTTTCTAGCAGACAAGTATGTGGCATTCTCAGTGTCCTTTCATGTTATAACGAAATGTCGACCGTCAATACTCGTTCTCAAGGAAAAAATCGAATACGTTTACAATCTCGACCATCGTTGTGCTACTTTTCCACTTACGAGCTCCGCCAACGAGAGGAGGTATAAATGTAATGCACACGCAAGGTAGTGTAGAAAGTGAATAAGAAAGTAGCAGATATCGAGTTTGTCCGTACGGCAGGGGCGGATCTCAGCAAGTTTTTTTTTTGATGAAACGCATATGAAAATAGCCGTTTCTTGTAAATGATAACCGCCCGAGTTTTTCAAAAACACGATGGTTCTCATGCAAGTATTATTCGATCTATAATTTACTAGCTAGAAGATGAAGCAACTAACCTAGATGTGGTCCAATTACAACTATGGACCTGACACCAGCTGATGGAGTCCAACTTTAAGTCCCACTAAAACCCAATAACCCTGAAAATAAGGATGAATACGCAGTTGAATTTATAGAAACCTTTGTCATTAAATCACAAGGCATGTAAAGCCAATCATTGGCTTCTGACATGACAAGTGCTCTTATATTATCGCGACAAGCAACAACTAATCCAAACAAAACGACAACTATTTATTCTCGGTATACTAAAACGAATCCAAACATAAACAATATACATTAAATACCCGTACTACAGTACAACTGAAGTAACTTCACATAGCAATTGTTGTTGCCTTATTATGATTAGTTATTAAAGTTAGCACTGCGAAAAAACGATATGCCATGCACATGAATTATTTTGAGTAACCGGTTAGACAAACCTAAAACATTATCCTTCAAAGCCGAGGCTTCTGAATTATAAGCCAGAACGAGTAGTGAAGCCGATTCAATTCAAGTCTACTTATCCATCGAGAACAAACAATTTAAAGGGTGCGCGGTGGTGGCATGTCTCTCAGATCGACTCAAGCCACAACGGCAACCACAACCGCGCAGACTTAGGAGGCATACTTGAGAAATAAGAGCCGAAGGCTGTAGATTTAAATACTATAACGCTAGAATCTTATGGATTAGAGCCTGAAATTTTGCAGAAAAAAGGCGTACAAACACGCGCGTTTTTCGGCAATTAAACATTTTTCAAAACCACCTTTTTGCAGAAAGCTCCTTTCTGGAGCATATACTGCACTCCTCCATAGGTGAGCAGCAGTAAGCAGTAGCAGAGATCGCTCTTATCTATAAGACTTTAGGGTTTTACATTTACGACCAATTAACATATGTACAAACTAGAAAAGTACATTTAGAAACATACGAAACGGAGAAAGGCGAGAATAACCGATATGATGCGTAAGTGCGGTGAAGTAGGCAATGTTCATTACTTGACACCCTCCGTAAAAATGGTCCATAAGACAGAAGGCTGCTTTTTACTCACACGAAATTCTAACGAACTATGACCCGACATTGATAATTTCCCCAAATTCATATTACAAGTTGCTGCTATGCCTATATTTTCCAAATATACTTTATACCCCTTCACAGTTATATGTATAACGATCAGAAACCCTTGAGCCCCCTAATGCCCAAAACGTTATCAAAACTGCGTTATACATTCCAATTTTAGATCTGATATCCAACAGAGTTGTGCAATTGACGGCTCAGTGAGAAATCAGAGAATGGAATAGCTAGAATAGAACGTCTGGTCAGCCCAGCTGCAATGTGAAAGAACAACAGTGGTTACATCACAACTAAAACACCGGTACACAAGTGCGCCCTGAATTTCTGCTGCGTGATTGTGAAGTATTAATTTCTATTTACATTATTATTATTAATCAAATGAGCGATGCAACTAGGATGTTGCGCCTTGGTCAACAGCGGATGTCGCAGCAGTTCGCTTGCAGTGGCCCTCTGTGAAGGATCCTTCACGAGACAACGACTAAGCATGTGAGCTAACTCAGGAGAAACCTTAATAACGTAGTTCGAAATAAAATTATAAATCCACCGAAAGGAGTTTAAAAACACACTCTAAAGACAACAATTGCAAGCAACACTCACATTGGCTGTTGGATTAAACTTTGGCGCAGGCTCGTCTCGGATCATTTTCATCGCCTAAAGTTCACATTTACATGAAAGTGATGGGAAGACTTAGGCAAAAAAGGACTAATTAAGGAAATTCCAAATGAAAACAGTGAAAAAGGCCTTACAAAAAGAGCAAAGGTAACAACTAAAAACTATTAACCTTCCTATAACCAACAACCCTTATTCTATTCTTTTCGCAGCAAAAGCAATAATCAGAAGAAATGATGTATGCAATCATTATCGACACCACCCAAACAACCCAAACGAAGTTACCGCTGTTCAAGCAAATGCTGAATGAAGCCAACGAAAATGCTCTCTACAGTGAGGGTTACTATTTTTTCCGTAAACTGATGATCAGATATTGACTGCAAGAATGAAGAAAAAACTATAGAAAGGAAAGAATAAAAAATTATTCCGAAAGATTACCTGGAACGGTTGCTCATTAAAGAGAGGTGGTTCACCCTCGACCATTTCTATAAGCATAATTCCAAATGACCAGATATCTGCACCAGTATCGTATGGTTGCCGAGCAATCACCTAAAGTCCTCAAAAGTTTTCAGGACTCACTTTTAGAAGTTCGAGAATGGAATGGATATAGAATGTTTGTAAATCTCACAGTACCTCTCACAAAACCTTGAAAAATTAGAAAGTGGTTCTTTAGTCCCAATGATGACTCAAACTTACTTCGGCAGCTGTCCAATATGGAGTCCCTACCAAGGACCTGCGGCGTGGAAACTCATCAGAAAGCTGCCCACAGAAGCCGAAGTCCGAGACCTGCGAGGAAAAAATTCGTCCTAGTGAAGATACATCAAACATGTAAGAGAACAATAGAGCAAGTTTTTTTTCAGTTTCTACCTTGACAGTCCCATCAGCCTTGAGAAGAATTGAATCACTTTTGATATCCCTGAAATAAAAGCTCATCGACTGTGGAGCTGACTTTCGGACTACTCCAATGAAATGGAATATTCCATTCTTACCTATGGATTACACGGCGTGAATGAAGAAACTCGAGCGCTCTCAACACTTGCAGTGCAACAGTGGCAATTTGTGGCTCGGTCATCCTGCAACTTCTACTAAAATTGATGACGTACAACCTTTCACCTCAACCTGTAAGCCTTTTCCTCATTCCCTTTTTTGAATCAATAGCTAAATGAGGGATACCTAGTTTGCGTGACGATGTCAGTTAACGAGCCTCCTTCCATGTACTCCATGACCACCCATAACTCATCGCCAACAATATGTGAGGAATACATTCGCACAATGTTCGCGTGTTGATAGTCTCTCATGATTGAAACCTAAGATAGAAAAATGTACGTTTCAAAACGGTAGCGCGTAGAGAGAAGAAATGAAAAGAGGCTACTCACTTCATTAAACAGTAACTCTCGTCTCTGCTGCTTTCTCAAATTCATCCGCTTCACAGCGACTATTTGTTTGGACGACAACTGCAAAATTCCAGGGATGCGTAAGACTTTTTTTATGAAATATGAGAAAATATCAACACCTGTCATACTCCTGCAACGAACCTTATATGCCGCTAACACAGTACCCGTCGATCCTTCGCCTACCACTTTGAAATCGGCTAGGTCTGCGCGTGGATCACTTCGATCGACAACACTTGATAACGCAGCTCGAAACTGAAAATACAAGTTAAGGTGCAATAGACAACAGAGTTGCGTGACAGACGCACCTCTTCATAACCAACTCCATCGTCAGTAGATTTCTGAGGAGATACGATGGACGAAGGAACTGTCGAACTGGGCGATATCTGAAAGAACTTATTGCTTTCGGCTCGTTGCCATAACATGTGTATCACATTCCGGAGTTATTTTCCTTTATGTCAGTCTGAAGTTTAATGGAACATAACATATGCAGATCCCTAGCTTTACATTCTCAATTTTGCATAACTTATGAGTCATATACAATAGGCTCTGTTTAAAAGGGGCCGTCTGCATTAGTACCGAAGGTGTAGTCGTAAAGACAGATACAGATGCCCAATTGGTGCAATACCCAGTAAGTATCCTCGGGCGTTTCTTCCCGTTTCCGCTCATGAACCAAACCCTTCGCATATGCCTTAATGCACAACACCGTTCGTTACTTTCAATAAGCTACAAAAGTTGTGGTATGGAACCTACAAGTGTTGCTTGTTGGACTAACAACTCGATCCCAGAAGAGAGGAGAGAGAACTGCTCTTGCTAACGAGACAGGCGCGCGTGGATAGATGCGCGTTGTTCTGATCATGGACAGCGCAGTGGCCGGTCAATTTGTTCAAAGAAAAGTGAGCGCTTGGATTCATCATTGTGCAAAATGGTTCGATCGTCCAAGATGGTAATTGAGATTAAACCCAATCCGTGTTTGATCTGAGCTTCGAACCTACTTTTGCAGACTCTACTATCACTTCCATTAATGCTACTCACGAAACAATTGAATATAGGTTACCCAACGTATTCTGCTGTTCTTATTCCTCAATAAAGTTGTTTTTACAACCACATTGTACCCGAAATTTCCCTCCAAAACCGCGTTACAACTCACCACTCCTGAATGTGCATTGTAAGCACCACCATTTTGCTGCCATGAAGCGACTTCTTTCGTTTTATCATAGTGCTGTGGTGTAATATTCTCGGTAAGCATCGGCGACATTATACGAGCAGTGCTCTGTTGACTATATGCCCCACTACTCTGAAAAACATAGCTCAGTGGAAAAACCAAAAAGATACGCATGATACTACTCACCTTATCAGACCCAAACGTGGTAACAGTAGGAGGTCTCAATGGAAGAGGGGCGTAATTGGGATCACTGAAAGGATAGCCACGCGCCTTCGAAGATGGTTGTACCGATGGTGGCCGCATCGATGCCGCCGATGTACTGGAACAAATACGGATGTAATTTTTTCTGGATGCGTTTTGGTTAAAGAAGTGTCAAAAGCTAGAATACGCAGACCATTGGGGAGAGTTGCATCGGCAAAACTACCCACAATGCTTATCCGACAAAATTCAGATGTCGGTCAGACTCTGCGATTGCATCGCGATGAACCAGTGCCGGAGCGACGCGATCGCTCCATCGCTTGTCCACCGCGATGCAATCGCTCGGCGCAAGAGTGGGAGCGACGGGAAACCACCAAGCTCGTAGCACGGCAATACTCGGAATAGTTTCTTTTGAACTCCGCCAACAACGCACCC